CTAGCCATATTACTTGATCTAGGGTTAGTTTCGCAAACGGTAAGTATTGAATTGACATATCTATCCCATTATCAGCCAAGAAGGCCTTGTTAAAATGACTTACCAAAGCACTTTCTAGGCCTGGTCCATCTTCACATTCTACCCCTTGAACTTCTAGATTTTGGATAGAATTGCCCCTTCTTCTAGCATTGGCGATAACATGGAAGAATTGCGCTTTTTTTCCCCCTTCCTTCAACCACTTCACCCGAGATCTCTGTCTCCAATGAATCTCTTCCTACCTGAGCAATTCCTTGTACTAAGCCACCCATATACTTCTATTACTGACTTGTTCCTGGTTTAGGAAAGTTTCCCATAGACTGCAAATTGTTCATATCCTCAATTTGACCTCACGCTTCAGCAATTTTAGAATGTAATTGCTGTGTTCTTTCTGTTGGAGAAAACATCACAAACACTGCAACAGGACACTGTTACCCAGCAACCCTATCCTTTCCTACAGCACAGTGGTTTCTCATAACAGGCACCAAGTCCTGTACTATCTCTCAAAACCCTGATGCATCAGCCATCAACCAGCCACATCCATCAGAACAATCCCTCCATCACCAGGACGTCAGCCATCAACCAGCCCCATCCATCAGAACAATCCCTCCATCACCAAGACGTCAGCCATCAACCAGCCCCATCCATCAGAACAATCCCTCCATCACCAAGACGTCAGCCATCAACCAGGCCCATCCATCGCAACAACCCCTCCATCCCCAAGACACAACCTACCATCATCACCTCAAACCCCATTCACCCTTCTCCAATCTCTATAATTTCTATTCCTAGATCAGTCCTCCAGAGGGCAAATAACTTCGGAAGCCGCCTAACCACCATCCCCAAGACCCAACCCACCATCATCATCTCAAACCCCATTCATCCCTCCCCAAACTCTATAATTTCTATCCCTATATCATTCTCCCAAGGGCAAATAACTTCAAAAGCCACATAAACCAGTCAAACCAGCAACAAACAAATCACCATGGAAGTTCAGCCTGCAGCCTTCAAAAGCAAACCAACCTCAGATCCTATGCTTCCTATGCTTGCTTCCATTACCTTCATTCCCAGCCACCAAATACGGTCCCCAAAGCTACCCACCTTTGCAAATATACATCACAACCAATCACCATATCACATATGATCCCTCTTCACACTCATGCATTTATACCTCTAACCAACAACTCCAACCCCTCATAACCAGTTCACCAGTATGAACGCCCTACAATCAGATTGCAGAAATATATGACAAAAGAAGGACCAAGGTGCAATCTTCGATGTTCGGGTTCTTCCCACCACCAAAAATGACATCAAGGGGATTACAAAGTCATGGCAAAGGAGCTATGGAACTCTGACAAGACTCGCTGCAGATCCATGGAGGACACCAACCTAGTATTGCTTGGGTTGCAGGACGAAGCACAGAAGGCATGCAACACAACAAGTGCAAAGTTAAGGGCAGGGCATCCTGACTCTCAAACCGTCCCTTGTTCTGGGGTCTTCAAACGAAAATTGCTTTGAATTTCAACTCAAAGGCATTCCTATGCATGCCTGGCGCAATGATATCTTCGGATAAATTGGAGATATTTGTGGAGGATACATCGATACCATTGGAACTCCTTTGGGACTCTCTCTGTTTGACGTGGTCCATATTCTGGTCTGTTGTTCACAACAAGATGCTACACTCAGAGCCATCACCTTGAATTTTGAATCCTTTAGATACTTAATCTCCATCCAACAGGAAGACCCCCAATGATCGTTACATATATACCAATACGCGTGTCAGTTTTTACTATGTTTCAGGATACCTACTACATGAAGCTAGAATGCAAGTACTTCCTGACATGTCCGTACAACCAATATGTTCAACAATATAAGACATATAATATAACTTTTTCCATTTTAACAACTAGCACCCAGTGTCATGGCGGTAGAAGTCATGCATTGGTTGAATGGCCATGGCTAAGAGGTCGTGTGATCTAATGTAGGGCGATTTGAGGGAACAGTAAAATCAGCAAGAAACAAATCTAAACACAAGCATAATTCAAATAAACCTAGGGTTTCCTATCCATACCCAAGTTAGGGTTCCAAAAGCCTAAGCTTTTTTCTGTTTCAATTTCTTAAAATCATGTGGAATTGTCCCTCTCAAGGCCCCACACACCTCTTATATACTATAATTCTCTAAGCTCTTCCAAGTTTTGTAACTCATATCTAATCTTACATGTTTGGGACTAAAGATATATTGTTCTGAAAGTTTTTGAGCATGATGTCATGAACAAACAATTTATATTGCAAATTTATGTCTTCAATGGCCTAATTTTGTTAGACAAAGGATGACGCAGTATGCTTGCTTTTGGTTTCACTTTTTATTAATGTACATAAATGATGAATTTTGGAATAAGGAATCTTTCCACCAACAGGTTCTTCCTTTTGGATATTCTCCAAAGAAAGGCATATATGTAGTTTCCAAGGAAATCTAATGGTCATTCTAATGCCAAGTCTACTTTCCAAGGAAAACGGATCATAAAAAAGTGGGTGGTAACCTATGATGGTAATAAAAGTTTGAATTCAAAATTGAAATATCTCACTTCGGAAGTTGTTTCCATCCCTTGCCATAATAGATACACACCTCTTGAGGAAACTTCTTTTCCCCCTTTAGCCACATGTTTTGATGCATCTTCTTCAAAGATTTACTTGAACAAAACGTCTCCTCATCAGAGGCATATTCTTCCGCCACTCTCTACTCCCTCTCAACACGTACTGCCACTGCTACGTCATCCTTGAAGCTTGGCAATATCACAGAGAGAAAGCAAAGTGAGAAGGAAGAAGAGATGACGAGACTTCTCACAAAAAGGGCTGCTTCAAAATCTTTAAGAGAACTGAAGAAAGGTAAAAACTTGGAGAATCCAGTGATGGTTTTTGATGTTGAAAAAAGCCTAGATGAGGAGGAAGATGTCATTTTCTCCAGTCAAAGGGAAGAATTTTGGTTAAAGAATGGCCCAACGGTTCCTGTAGGGGAAAACTTGTATCTGAAAGAGAACAAGATCATTGGTGAACCAGAGAGTGTATTTATCGGTGAGCCTCGCGTTACTCCTATTGCCATGCGACTTTTGGAGAGGGATTGAGAAGATGGTTCCCTTATAAAAGAGTTGGATGAGCCTACTGAAGAAGTTCTTGTTGTAGTCAATTCTGATGATAATGATAAGGAATTGGCCCTAGTAATCCATCCTTTGGAAGTGGGAATGGTCTTGGATGCTATGCAAGTCTAATTACGGTTATTCCTTTGACAACATCACGGATGCCTTGAAATTGAAGAATAAGGAAGAAATCGAAGAACGTCCGTGTCGTAGTAAGGGGAAGAAGACCAAAAATAAAGGTCGTGTTCAAAGGGAGCGTGATAATCTAGTAAGCAGCATGAACTATGACAAAGGGGAGGTATGCAAAGACTTCGTGCTCTTTCTGAGCCGGTGGTTTGATGTTTGTTGATCAGTTTAAGATCAACAAACATAGAGTGGGGGCTAGATACTGTGTTGGAATGCCAGGGGTCTCAATAATGTTTCTCGCAAGAGAGATGTGCTTTCTTTTTGCAAGAAAGAAAGACTGGATCTCTTGTTGCTTCAGGAAACCAAATTGGAGGCTTCGAATATCTCTTCTGCTTGTTTGGTTTGGGGTAACAGACCTATGGATTTTCTGGGAGTGGGTGCTTCAGTTCGTCAGGTGGCATTTGGTTGCTTTGGGACCCTTTGTTTTTGGTAGTTTCTCTGCAAATTATTACTCAAAGACACATTTCAGTTGATTTTCAAGGCCCTTTGGATATGGTGTTCATCTGTGGTCTATGGTCCTAATAGACAAGACGAAAGTCGTGCTTTTTTTGATGAACTTTTTGTTGTTATTTGCACTTTCAATTTGTTGTGGTGTGTTTGAATCCTCTTTCAATCCTTGAATATCTCCTTGCATGCATTTTTTTTTAATCCTTCATTCAGCAGCATGAGTTGATTGATATTCCTTCTATAAGAGCTAATTTGAGTGCTCTTGTACTTAACTGGATAGATTTTTACTTACTTCTCAGTTTATTAATCTATTTCCAAAGATGGGGGTGAAGGCATTGCCTAAACTTGCCTCAAATCATGTACCTCTAAGACGTAATTCGGATGGCTTTTCTTTTGGTCCTACCCCTTTTAGATTTGAGTTGACTTGGCTGTCAGAGCGCTCTCTTATTTCCTTAGTTGAGGAATTCTGGAAAGATACAGTAGTAGATGGTTGGAAAGGTTTTCAATCAACAAAACATTACAGATGCTGAAAGAAAAAATAATCTGTTGGAGAAAATATGTGGGGTTACTATGTTCCTTACTAAGTTCTTTCTCGCTTGCCCATCATCTTTGATGCGTCAATCTCGCTTGCCCACCTCATTAGGGGAATTGCCCATCAATCTCGCTTGCCCGTCATCTTTGATGCATATTCAATTCAGGGTTAACTATGCGTGTGTCCACCCCATTAGGAGAATTGTTTTCTGGGTTTTTTTTTTCCTCCAATATACATGCAGTTGCTGATTAATTCAACTAGTTATGGATGCCTTCTTAATCATGATAACACATCTCACAATACTAGGGAATAGGCTTGCATTTTGGACATTTATTGTTATCTGGATACTGTGATATTTGAGATTGTAAAAATTCTAAGTTTTTTTTTTTATAATGACAATTTATTTCTGAATCACAAATCACTGGGTTGTTATGGTTGGATGTTACGATACAAGACAATGTTCTTAATTTCATGAGTTCTTGAGTGCTGTCATGGCTTTCTCTTTTCTACCTGCTATGCTAAAAGCATCCTGATATCGCACTTTTAATTTTTCTTTCTTTCTTTCTCCCCTTTCTCATTTATAAATAATTGGACTGATGGTTAGGATGGCCTATTGCTTGTACTTTCTCATGTACATTTTTGATGATGTGGAATGTGCTTTTTAGAACTGTTGGAACTGTAGAAATGGACCACAACTTCGGCTATTGTTGACATACATTCAAAATGGGATAAAAGAGCCATGGCAGCAAATTCCTTCTGTGATTGCCATTTTTGCTGCAGAAGCATCTTTCATCTTAATGGATCCTGCAAACGGTCTCTATGTTAATGTCAATCAATTTTTGATGCGTTCTCCCAGGGTGGATCTTGAGGTATTTCAGTTTCAGTGTAAGGGCATATTTTCAAAGATTTCTTCTATTTATTTGGTCTTCCTTGACCCTTCCAATCATCTTTAATGCAGGCTGTACCATTGTTTCATTCACTATTTGGAAGTTGTTCCATCCATTTTCTCAGTGATCGGAAATGGATCCTCCATTTACTGTTTGCTGGACTGAATTTGGTTGATGATGCACAAATTTTTAAAAGGAAATTCCTGTTTGAACTATTGCTAAGTTTTTATAATTCCTCCCTTGCTGATCACAACACCAGGGTTCTGATCCTTCAGGTACTATAATGTATTTAGTTGTTTAAATAGCTTGTTTATATATGGATCTTCCTAATATGGTTTGCTATATCAAGTTTGCTGCTCTCTCTCTGGAGAACTCTGAAGAAAGAGCTTTTTGGATGTCCAATGTATTTGTCTAGGTTTTCTTTCTCTTATTTACTTGCTGAATTTGCAGTGTTATCTGCGTAAATCTGTTTTTCTATGTATGCTGCTTTCTGTTCATCATAGGATATTGGCTATCTTACTTTGCGTGGCTAGTTCTTAGATGGATTTGTATTTTTGTATAATAAAGTTGTCAACATTGGAAAATGTTCTTGAAAATTTTTTTACTGCTTCAAACATAAGTTTGTTTACAGCATAGAACAGGTAATTGAAGTCTTCTGAATGACTGTTGATTGTAAAGTGATGAGTCCTTGGAACGCTTGTTTTTGGCCTATCTATCCTGCCCACTAAACCCCATATTTCTCCAAGTCTCTCTTGCACCTGCCCCCACAGATTGTGTAGACAGCCAAGTCGGAGAAACTTTCCAAGTCAATTCTACCCTTCCTCAGGTGAGCTTAATAAACAAAAACCTTGGGATCTGACCAAGATTTTCTTTTTACAATGATCTTTTTATTTGACCAGCAAATGGTCTCTTCTTGGCTGGTAGCATTGCGGTATACTTGGTTTTGGGCTTCGTCCGATTGCCAATAATTTGTAAATTGTTTCTTGTTATTTTTTCACACAATTTTAAAAAACTCTCTGAGCTTTTCTGAGTTCACAGTTTGACTCGAGGAGTCAAGTTGTTTCTGATAGAGATCCGGTTGGCCACCAAGATTGAAATTTATCTCCGCTGCCTTGTCTGCTCTGTGCTGCCCTTCCTTCATTGCTACCCGGGAGATTGAAAGAAGCATCGATTGGAACGCCATTACTCTTATGCACAATTGTTCTATAACATGACAAAAAATAATCTTAACCCCTCTGAGCTAGCATAGCAATTTTGCCATAAACATTGGTTTCAGAACAAGAAATGCATTTGCCGTTTGAGATTTTGCTTTGTCACTTTTGCTGTTGGAAAATATAGTAATTGGTGTTGTCTGACCCAGATGCCTAATTTGAGAAGAATAATTCTCATTTATAGGCAGGAAATGAATCCTTATATATTTATGTGCCTTTGTGTGTGTGTGAGTGCATGTGTGCGTGTGTGCATGCACACATTTTAACTATATGCATGTCTGGTGCTGGCGCATACATGTACGCACATGTATAAATTTAGTATATATGAAGAGCATAAAACACCAGTCACTTGCCTGGCAAGGAAAGTTTTATATGCCTGGACTACCTTTTCGCCTTCAATTACTAAGAATAACTCTTGTCGGCTTTGTTTGTTATGTTTGCCCTGCTTAATATGTACACTTATGTTGTGACCATATGTTACAGATAGTTAGGAAGGCTGTTAAATTGCATATGATGGGGCGATATTTGGTTGAGCAATCTGGTCTGATTTCGTGGTTATCTTCTATTATTTTATTTGGCATTGAGAGGTTGCATGGGGAAATCAGAGAGCTTGTTCTCACTCAGATGGTGATTGCTCTAGAGGTACTTTAAATTTGCATTGCTTTGCTAGCAGTCATTTGTGTGTTTCTGGTGTCTCCATTTTATGCAGGAGTTGAAATTTTCTTTTTTTGCCCTGAAACCTAAATAGTTCTCTTATCTTCTACCAAGACTTTTTTTTTCTGGGCCTGCGGTCAGGTCTTTATTTCTGTGCCATGTTTTATTAAATGTCTATTGCTACTTAATCTATATTTATATAGAACTTTTTGCTTGTGCTTGTTTATTGTTGTATCTTGCCCATGGGGTTTTTGTTTCATGACATGCAATGCTTTATTGTTCTTTTCCTATTGTTCTTTTCCCGCTTTGCTTTATTTCTTTTTTTGTTTTGTTTGTAAGTGTTAACTTTGTATTAAGGGATGCAGAGTACAAAAAATGGCAACCCAATACTTACAATGAAGCTCACTATCACAAAAAGGGGTGAGCTACCCAATAAATGCTATACTGTGTGTATACACATCAGGCCCAAAAAGTTATGTCATACCGAAGAGGTAGGATGAGAGTTGCGCTTAGCAGTGTTCAAGAAAGCGCAGGCGCCCGCCTTAGTGTTTTGGGTGCCTGGCCACCTCGATGCCTGCCCACGGACAGGGTGCCCTCACCAAAATTGAAACACCCCCCCCACCCCCCCCAAACCCAAGATATATTGCATATTAACATCATTAAGCTGTTAGTTTTAAAACAGTAAGACTTAAATGAATATGTATAAGCTCTTAGTCTCACTTCCACATAATATATCATATAGTTATTAATTTATCAAATAAAGTAAAAATAAAACTAATAAAATATCAAAACATGGCACATTGTACAAAAAAGGAATCAACTATGCATAAAAGATTATGATATATGCCCAATTTCATCATCCCAATAAGGAAAAATTCAATTAATTACAAAAAGCATTCAATCTTTCAACTACAAGCATGTAAATATATCGTAAAAGAAAAAAATAAAATAAAAGAAAAAACAAATGATTCACAAAAGAATATGTTGTAGCAAAATCAAATCAAAACCCTTTTTCAAATATGATAATACTCTAAAAATATCAAAATCAAATTGATGTGAGTGCAAACCTCATCTATTGGGCCACCAAAAGTCCTCAAAATCGACTATCAGAAGCTCAAAATCCACCCACGAACTATTACCTTTTGTTTAGGGAAGAAATCGAAAAAATCTAAAATTTATTGATCGTTCGATAAATCTCAAAAGAGTGGTTTTGGGGGAGTTTTTCTCTTCCTCAAAGGCACGGTTTTGGTTTTGGGGGTGGAGAATACCCCCCAAACCCTTTTCCCCCCTTCTTAGTGGGGAAAAATGACCTTTTTTGATCCTCACTGAGACCCTTTTTCCGCCTATTTTTCAAGTTGTCATGGGGTGGCGCCTATGCGGGTGCCCAGACTGTAGTGCCTAGGCGGCGCCTTGCCCGCCTTGGCGGGCGCCTAGACGCACCTTATAGTCCCTCCTAGCCACCGCTTAGTCGTTTTTTCAATTTTATCGCCTAGGTGACCGCCTAGGCTGTTGGGCGGGCGACTTTTTGAACATTGGAGCCTAGGTGATGCCCATCATTCCATTCAATGATGCTCCTATTCTGGCTAGGTGATCTGCTTGCAAATTTGCTTCCCGCTGTGTCTCCATGTGACATTCAAATCCCTTGCAAATATGTCGGATGTGGCAAAAAACGAAGAGAAGTCTCCATGGGCATTGGGAAGAGCCAGCTGCCCTAGAGATACATTCTTGTAGTCTCTTTCTACGACCAAATTTGGGCCCCAATCAGGGTTGTATTGCTTGAGTCCCTTAAAGAAGGGTGAAGGCTTCGGCCATGGTGGAGTCAGCCTGACCAATAGGGAGGGGACAAGGAGAGAGAGTATCACACCAAAGTGGTCTCCAAAAGTCCCTCCTATTCCAACAGGGCCTGGGTTGCCCAATGAACTACTGTTGAAGTTCAATTTCGATTGCTCTATCTCGGGTGGCCTCCACCGTGATGCCCTTGGGATTCTTACTGGTTGCAAATAAAGCATTTCATGCCAATTTTGAAGAAAATTGGAAAGTATTTGAAAGGGCCGTGATTGGAGGCCCAGAAGATAACCAAAGATAGAGTCCTTTCGTTCATTTCTACTAGAATGGATCTGGTTCCTCGAAAGGTTCTATTTTTTTCTTTCCATCCAAATTGCCCACAGAGTAGCTGCCATTGAAGCTTTCCAAAGAAGGATCTCTGATTTTGATTGGGGTTGGGTGGAGTGAAGTGAAAATTTGAGTAACCGACTAAGGGGTTTACCCATGTCCACTGAAAGCGTCTAAGTAGGGCTCCCCAGAGATCTTGAGCAACAGTACAGTGAAGAAAGAGGTGCTGAAGTTGGTCAATAGTGAGTGGGTTCCTCCTCTTCCTAGCGCATTAGACGTTGGATTCCTCCTCTTCCTAGCACATTACACACCTTTTGGTAAAAGGGATGCCTGCTGCTGAAGTTGGTCAATAGTGACTGCCTTACTGGCAATGGAGGGATGAATGTAAGCCACTCGTTGGAGCAAATAGTTTGGGCTCCTACAGGGAGGGATACTTGTGCCAAAAGGACATGGTAGAGGGAGGAGATAGAAAACTGATCAGTGGGGTTGGGGGACCAAAGAATGGTGTTGTTGTTTGTGCGGGATAAGGGCAGAGGATGGAAAAGGGCAGAGAGGGCCAGGAAGTCTTTCATCTTCTCATCTGTTAGGGACCTCTTGAAGTTACAGTTCCAAGCTCTGGAGGAGCCTGTGGTCTCCAAAAGGTCGGCCACAGAAGCCTGAGGGTCCCTCGCCTGGAGGTACAACCTAGGGAAGAGATCTTTTAGGGGAGTGTGTCCTACTCAGCAATCTGACAGTAAGAGGATACAATTCCCTTCCCTTGGGTGGACTCGAATGTTGGCATAGAAGACCTCGTAGAGGGATGGATCTCCATATGCCAGAACGTTGGCTAGATGTTGGGAACCTAGAATACAACTAAGATTGTCACACCGATACTTTTGGCGAAGAATTGTCTGCCACAGGTGGTTGTCCAAAGCGACCGATCTCCACAACCATTTGCTGAGAAGGGCAAGATTGTTCAACCTAAGGCTGCATATTTCAAGACCACCCTCACTATTGGGAAACAAACTCTTTCCTAGGAAATCAGGTGGATCTTTATTGCCCTTCCCTCACCAGACCAAAGGAAGTTCCTCATCAATTGTTCGAGACGAGTCAGTACCAAAGATGGGATATAAATTCAGATAGATGGGATAACTTTGGTACTGAATTGCCGATCTGAGAGAGGATGAGGATCGATCGCATAGGGAGGGGAAGATACAACCCTCCTCACCGCAGCTACAGTTCTTCTCCTCATCGAGGATACAGTCCTCGTAGGAAGCCTCGTTCTAGACACAACCCTTCTCCTCGAGGTGGTTAGAGTCCACGCAAGCATCTTCGTTCTAAACGCAGCCCCTCGCTGCACAGGCGACGTCTTCACCAGCGATACTACAGCTATTACTCCTCCAGTTACCCTAAAGACATCAGATATTCAAAGCCCACCTACCAAAACTTCAATGAGTTGTGCGCACATAATCCTTCCATTAACCACCATCACAGAGAACTTGCGAACTACAACCATCCTTAGAACCCCAATAGCAGTCACCATCAGCGTCTTCAACGTCCATCTTCCATCAAACACCAAAGACACCCTCAAGTTACCCCCTTAAGAAGACCTTTATCCCATAAATACCCCTTTACCAGGAATGTCAGTCACCCCCAAACCCAATACTCTCATCCTAACAACCTCTCAGCTCATCAAGCAAGACCACATCCTCCCCCACCCCCTCACCTTAAGCTTAATTCCCCCATTTAGTAGAAGCTGCCCACCGTACTCAAAACCGGACCGCACTCTTCCCTGGTAACGAGCATCCTTCCACTGTATATCCCAAAACCTTTGCCCAAGCAGTAGCTTCCACCTCGGCAAACCCCCTCCAGCAACCAAGGCAATCACAAAACATCACAAAGAACCCCACCGAGTATCATATCTCAGTCCATAACCTTGAACCCCACATCTAGCTCTCCCCTAATAGTGACATTGTTGAGCGACTCTCTTGTCTGGAAAACTTCCTTATAGGCACTTTCCAACCTCAGCGCAATGACATCAAAGGGATTAATTTGTGGTTATAGTCTGTCTTCAACAACCCTCATGTCATTTGCAGGCTTCTTTCAAATGGTAAGTACCTCATCTCATTTCTTGACAAATTTAAACCGGTTGTTTCTCCCAATCCCACCTTAAGCATTAATGGTGGGATTTTATCCCTACAGAAATGGAATCCTTCTTTGGGAGCCCAACAAATCAGTAAATTTTGGGTTACATTAGAAGGAAATCCCCTCCATCTTTGGTCTATCAAGGTCTTTCAAATTCTAGGAAACAATTGTGGATAATTCCTTTCTGTCCATTGGAAGTCCATGGGATTTCTTCCTTTGGGAAAAATTATCATCTTAATATCTACTGAATCAGCAAACCTTATCCCCAGTTCTCTGTCACTGCACTTTGATGGTCTTTCTTACAAAATTTCTGTAACCGTCCAGGGCTTGGATCGCCATGAACGCCCCTAGTCGGACCGCCAAGGTCGGACTGTGGTGCAGCGAAAGTTTAGTGGACCCTCCCGTACTCAGGGGCCCCCATCTGCTGCTCCCTAGTCCACTAGGGACCACAATAGCAATTTGCATCAAAACAAAAATCCGATATCTAGGCCTACCACAATCGCTCGCACCAAGGACCATAATCACCGTTTACCCAACGGTGTAAGTTCCTTCCACCCATGGCCCTGACATTCCCGCCCTCAACCAGACCGAGGTAAGGAACTTCTCACTGATCATTCCCTAAGCTATCAGATCACCGACGTCCCATCATATTTGTCCCGTCTGCCGCCTTGTCGAAAGTATTCCCATGAATACTTTGACATTTGTTACCCCCCACCACCCCCAACATTAAATACCCAGGTTACCGTGCTGCC